ATGCCATGGCACTGGACTAGTACGCGGGTGGTCTCACCCCTATATGTGCGGCGCACCCGGTCTAGATCCTGTTGCTAGGGGCTCAATCCTAGCCTGCCTGTCCGGGATACCGGCCGTAGGCAGGGTTGGGTCGGTACTTTTGTTCACGGCTAGGATGGGTGAAGGGTTATGTCACATGTTTACGACGGATTCCAAGGCCATGGAATGCGGAGTAAAGATGTGTCTTGTGGGTAAAGATGTACACCTCTGATCAGAGTAAATCTATTAGAATAGCCGCGCCCTCGGTTATGGGCAAGCCTAGCAATGTACCCAAGTTAGTGGTTTAATTCTTAAAACTTGCTTAACAACTAAAATGTGTAATGGTTGGCCTGGGTTGGCTTGGGACGAGCTGGGACCCAGGTCAGGTTGCCAGTTCGGTCTGAATCATCGTAGGCCTTGGGTTAAGGCAGGTTCGTGAGGGTTCACAGCCTTGATTAATAATATTGTGTAGCTCTAGGATCGTTTTTACAAAATAGCTTTGAGCAACTAAGTGACTTTTAAATGCTGTTTACTGCAAAACCTAGCCCCTATATTATTACCCCTTGTACCCCCTTGCATTAATCATGCATCTTCCGGTGTGACTTGCTGAGTACTGTGGTTGTACTCATTCTTGCTCTATCTTTCCCCCCTTCAGTAAGAGAAGCTTTGGAGAAGAAATCCTAGGTGGAGTCCTGGCTTATACCCCAGTTGAGTGCCTGTGAAGATGGAGCCGTAGGCCTGCTAGTCCGCTGCTGTTTATTTTTGTTTGTCAGGCCTGAAGTGCTTTTGTAATAATGTAAATATTATCGATATAATAAAGATGTGTCTTTTATATCATGTTTGTGTGGTGTACCCCGGCTTTTCCTGGGATGGGGACTAATACACTAGCGTTCTGGAAAAGGTATTTTTCCGGGCGCGGCAACCAGGTATCGCAAACCCAGCCGATGCATTCATTGAGCCTTGCTGCTGAATCGGCTGAACCACCTGTTGCCTTAATGGCGTCTGTTGAACCGGCTGCAAAACCTGCCGTCTTTGTGGTGTCTGCTGAATTGGTTGCACAACCTGTTGGACTGGGGATGTTTGTTGAATCGGCTGCACAACCTGCTGCCTTGGCGGTGTTTGCTGAATCGGCTGTTGCTGGGTTGGATCAATGGCATGTTGAGGAGGTAAGAACATAGATGCAACCTGGTCTTGGGTTAGCCGATTCACATTCTGTCCACTGTGCTGTGGTTGTTCTCTCACCAACAATCGGGGATTAACTAATTGGCCTAGAGCCGAAAGTGGTGCGGCAGGTGTAGGAGCTGGTGATGGTGCCGTCGGCTGAGCCGATGGTGCATTAAGAGGGATCGACTGGACAACTGGTTGATTATTGATGACTAATGGCCGATAATTCGAGAAGACTCCTCCTGGTAAGTAGACTGGTCCTGTAGCTTGATACTCGGCCATTGAACCATCAACCATTGACTTCACCATATTTGCCAAAGTATTGATTAATATCCTAGATTGATTGATCAGAGCATGGTGTACAGCATAGTCAACCTGATCTTGGAAATTGTTAAACTGCAACTGTGCTGCATTGCCATCTTGATTAGGTCCTTCACCTTTAACTCCCTGAGCACCATCACCTTGAACTCCCTGTGCTCCCTGAGAGTTATCACCTTGATTTCCTTGAGAATCATCTGTAGCACCTTTGTTGCTCGGTTGAGCCGAGCCATCTGGGGCTTGTTTCACCTCTCCATCCTTAGAAGAACCGGTCCCAGGAACATCAGCAACTACTTTTACCTTGTACTTTTGCACCACTGTCCCCTTGCGGGTCTGCATGAATGAGCTCAAGAACTGATTCCCTGCCTGCTGCATCATTGCTTCGAAATCCTTCTTCTGATCAGGTGTCAACTTGTCTGGAGTAATGGTCACGATGTTGCCCTCATTAACATCAGATAAGCCCAGCTGCTGAATCTTCTCTTTAACAGAACCTGGACTAACCGAAGACGGCGACGCTGGCGGCTTCTCGTCCATGAGGAAAGCTGCTGACTTCTAATCTGTCCCACTGGGCGTGCCAAAAGCGTGTTGATGGAAAACACGAGGCCTAGGATATCTGCTTAACTCCAGTGCAGGTCCAAAACTCGCCTTCGGGTATACAAGCGTGCCAGTTGATTTGATCATGCAATCAACAAGAAATAAAGGCAAAGAAACTGTGGTTAAATCTATAAACGATAGCCGATCGGCTAAGTGCTGATGACATATCATTTATCTTTGAGCCGATGTCATATATGCATCGATCGGCAGTTATAGATAAATAATAAAGAACTAAATCTGTTCGATCGGCTGTAGATATTAACAATATATAATCCTTATGTCGATATATACTTAAATCAAGTGATTGGGATAGATCGGTCGCCATGCCGGGACAGTATAAATCACTTAGATTGAAATATATACTAACAACGAGACTATATATGTTCATGGCATAGCCGATCAAATAGATCTAGCACGTATCGGCTAATACTCCGATACTACTCTATACTAAGATATTAAAAGCAAGTAGGATATATCAAACAAAAGCTTAATATACTTAAATGCTACAAGATCTTAATATAAAGGGCAGATTCAACATATCAATGAAGCATATAAAGCAAATATAGTTAAATCAGGTAAGATTGGCTGAAACCCCGATGCTACCCTAATCGGCAACCAGAAGGCAGGCTAAAGATTCATATTCTAAGCACGACTTAATAGATCAAACTCAACTGATGCAGCATTAAGTATGAAAAGAAGAACAATATCTAGACAATCAAGCCGCTGGAAGTTTTATAGAGTGGTAGATATCCTATATAATCTAAGTCAACATCGATGTCTAACCTAATCGGCTACCCTCTACCGACAGATGTTAGCCAATTGTAGGTTAGATAGCGATACTGTCAGAGATTACGTAAGATATATGATAACTCGACGAATTACATAAACAAGATTAGAGTATCATAAAGATGGAAGCATTAATCCCGAGAACGCAAGCTGCCATAACAAGTTTTACCTCTTGTTGAATATCGAAACCGATGCAGCTCAACCCGAAAGCAAGAACTCGTCGAAACAAAACGAAAGTAAAATGGTGGCGATGCGCCGAGATTGTATTGAACGTGTGTGTTCATTAATTACATAGGGTTCGGGGTCAATTTATACCCGCAAATTACAAACTATGCCCATATCGGACATGACTCTTATCTCTAACAAACTCTAAGATACCATAAGTCTTTACGGCAGACTTTTGCCCAAACATATCTCTAAGGAAATTACATAAAATATCCTAATTAATAGATACAATTGCCTTCCCAGGACTCTATCCATGCGTGGCAATCATCTTGAAGCATATCAACTCAACCCGACGTTGTACACCAAGTCGTATTGTCGGAATCGACTGCATCACCAAACCAAGTCTGACTCGAATTTAGCCGATCCAATCATAGCCGATCCGGACTCCAGCCAATTCTTACTCTGTTCCCGTGATAATCCTTATCTTTGATTCCGCTTCGATCTAATCTTCCTTTCCGATGCTGATATTACCAAATTTGGTCATTAACAGTCGGGTCCGCCCCTCCTGTCACCGTCACCGCGCGGGAGGGGGAGCAAGATCTACCGTCCCCATGCCTCCCAACTGCTGGATCTGCCACTGCCGCACCTCCCTACCGCCTGATCCGCCGCACCGCACATCCCCACCACCAGATCCGCCGCCGCCGCCGTACGGGGGAGGTCGAATGTCATCGGATCTGCTTGGGCGACGACCGCCGTGCCTCCCCACCACCAGATCTGCCACTACCGGCGCATCCCTACCACCGGATCCGCCGCCGCCATGCAGGGGAGGGCGGCCACCATCTGAGCCACGCGGGCGACGAACGTCGCCACCATCACGCGCTTCCTACGCCCTCCCTAGCTACCCAAGCCCTCCACCGCCGTCAGGAGGGAGGAGAGGGGTGAGCAGGAGTGGGGAGAGGAGGAAGCCGTCATCGTCGCCCTTACCCTCTGTTGCCACCGCCGCCACAGGAGCCCGCCGCGAGGAGATGTGGTAGGGAGAGGAGGAGGCCGGGAAAGGAGGAGTGGGAGAGAGAGAGAGGAGGGGAGAGAAAAAAAAGAGTGGGAACTAGGGGGGATTTTTGCATGCGAGTAAGTTAAGAGTCCCACATACAAAAATACCCTTATTTTTGCGTGCAGACATTTCAAGTGGGCCATTGGAAAAATTAATTGTTACATATGTGTCTGTTAAGGAGCCATATGGGAAAATAAGGGAAAATGAGGGTATGCAGACACTTATGGCATGTCTTCAACCTATTAAGGTGCTAGCCAGAAAAATCATTTTTGTCATCCATCCCATCTTTCTTTCTCATTTATAGGAGAAGAAAATTAAAAAGACCTGCTCATACTAAGTCTTACTTAGATGCAATGTGGACGTTCTAATCTGCTTAAAGAAAGAGATGGAGCTGTTCGCTAATTGGTAACCCATCTCATCTTTCGCCATTGTAGAATAAGAAAAGAAGAATAGAAAAACTTGTATTACATAGCGCGTGCATTTCGTTATGCTGTACATCGTGATCAGGTATATCGACTGCAACTTCAACTTTCACAGTTGCATGATCTACCACGTGCAAAATGAATTAAACGGCCAATCTTAACGAAGCCTTCATTACCACACCCAAATTTGATACCTAGAGTCGAAATAGGGAAATATAGCCAAAATCACGAAGCCTATGGACCGGTCTAGCTAACCGGTGGTGTGTGCCTGGTCAGACCTGCAGAATCCAATTCAGAAACGTTTTCATCGGTTCAAAGGTCTTCTTACTCGGGAAGGCATGTTTCAGGTTTTCATTAGTTTATATTCCGAGTTGGACGTGGACGAGGACTTATAGGAGGCTAAGACCAACCTTTTAGAAAAGCCAAGGTTCGGTTCTAGACCCCCATCCCCAATTCAAAAACAGTATGGTCGTACACGATAATTGAATTAAAGGAATTCAGCGTCTGCTTGGTTCAATTTCACATAAATTTCATTTGAAACAGCCACATCCACTACACATTGACACATTGATGGTTTTCAGAAGCAGCCACATGCGCCGGGAAGCTTTCCCGTCACCCGAATCCTCTCTGCCTTCTCCCTCACCTTCCTCTCTGCGCTCCTCCGCTTCTCCTCCGCCGTCAGCCTTGATGCTGCGGCCACCTTGTTGATCCTTGTAATCTCGTCGTTGTACTCCTCCAGCGCCTTCTCTCGCTTCCGCTCTGAATTATCGCCCTGACACAGCAGATTTATCAATTTAAGCAGCATACATAGAGAGCTCACGATTTTTTTACATGTGAATTTTGTGCGGCGAATTATAGATACTATAGTCGTGTGCAGAAATTAACCTCTTTCAACTCCATCTGGCGTTTGGCCTTGGCCTTCTTCTCGGCCTCCCATTCGACGATGGTATCCATTGTCATGTTGTACCTGCAGATCAAATTGACAGCTCAATGTAGAATGAACTGCAGCAATTTTGATGAGAAAATTCAGTGTTTTTTGTTGACAGGTTTACTTACTGCTTCTTGATTTTTGCCATCTTTTCCTTCTCCCACGTATCTGCCATTGCTTCAGCCTCACTAGAATATGAACTCGTCGGCGCGGAAGCCAAAGATGGCATTTGATTTGCCTTGTCTTGCTCAAACTTCTTGCTCTCTTTCTTCTCTCGGGAAAATGAAGCTGTTGGCCTAACATCTGGTGGCACCCTTGGGATTGCCTGGTCTTGATCAAATTTCTTGCTCTCTTTCTTCTCTCGGGGAAATAAAGCTGTCGGCCTAACATTCGGTGGCACCGTTGGGATTGCCTGCTCTTGCTCAAATTTCATGCTCCCCTTCTTTTCTGGTAAAGGCTTGGCGAAGCTCGGAGCCTTTCTTATGCTTGGGACAGAATCAAGAACCTTCCCTACCATATTTTGACCTGAAATTCCACCTTCTGGTATCTTTTGTGCCGTTCTCACCGGCCTCCTCACCGATACATTAGCTAAAATTCAACAAAAGTTTTTTAGTACATAATGGTATAGCTGGTTGCAGGTTGTGCTACAGTAATATATCATTGTTGCCCAAGTAAGTTGTTTTGAATCTTGTACCTTCTAGTCCGTCGTCTTCTTCATCGGGTACAATCTCCTTACCACTAAACCGCCTTGTGATTCTGCTCCCCTCGGTTTGCCTAGGCCTTTTCAAGATTCCTTGTCTGTTGGGTGGTAGTTTGAGAGTTGGTGTGGTCGAAGGCTCATCGTTCGCGACAGGCTTCTTTTCAGATGTTAACTTCTTTTTCACACGGGTCTCTTCTGTTGCCTGTTTCTCCTCCTCTTTTGCTGCAATAGCATACGCTACCGCAGCCACTGTGGCTGCATATGCAGCATCGTATTCTACTCCATTGCTCATTTCCTCTGAAATGTCAATTCAGTCAGTGGTTAATTCAGTTCTTCAAACTTAGAAAAGCGCATTGATGTAGGGTTCACCAAACCGTTTTGGGTGGGGTTACCAAACCGTTTTGGGTGGGGTTACCGTCACCCCATGGTTTGACGGTTACCACGAGGTATACTGTGGTTTCAAAAACTGAGAAGGTTACTGTGCCATAACTGCACGGTTTGTAAACCCTGATTTGATGACTTACCTCTTCCAAAAAATCTACCTTGTTGAGGTTGCATTCTTATAGTCTGGTTACCACCTTGATCTTCCTGTTCCTGTACCAGGAAATCGGACCCTGCCAAGAGATATCAATTGAAAAATAATACCATCCTATTTAGAGAATTTGGCATTGTTTGGAAAGTAAATAACTATTGTGCAATGCTAATAAACTCCTTGGGTCAGATCATCTGTTCTAAAACTCCGGAACATTTGAGAAGAACAATGGAAAAAAATGACGATGAGATATGGAGGAATTAGTAAGAACATAAGTTGTAACAATCTGGATGGCAAAACGAACAGAACAGATTTATGAAGTCCAAAAGAGCCAAAGGCCCTTTATTTCCTTACTTTCAATCTTATTCCTGGGCCTGTGGCACTCAACGTTCAAGATTAACTTGTAAGTTAAGCATTGCTCCATGAATTGGATGCAACTATATATAGAGATGGGTTTAGATGGACATGGAGAGGGATGTAGAAGGGGGCAAGAAAGCAGTTTGCATGTCTTGGAGGCAAGCAATTAGCAAGGGAAGGGAAGAGGAATCGCTTTGCCCTATTGAAGTCTCTGAGAATCCTAGCCTTTTGCTTGCAGTGTGGTTGCTACCAACCTGAATTTTCTGAGCAGTTTATCCTCTGAACTAGCCTTGGCTTGCCATTCAGATTACAAGTCCAACACCATTGCTTTACCTTATAATATTCAAGCTAATATCTGTCGGCAACCTGATATCTAGCTTGCTGCATTAGAATTATTCATGCTGGTGTTTGTGAGAGATGTAGAACAAACCGTATCCATTGTACAAATATATGCTGTAGATTGTATTCTAGCGACATATGTATATATTTGTGCCTCTGAAATCATGGACTCATGTACTACTTTCATTTGGATGTATATATACATGACAATGCATTGATATCATGTCATTTTTTTCTAATTCAAAATTTTGTAATTACCAGTGTGAGATCAGTATTTCATACTCCTACTACTCCCTCCGTCCCATAAAAAACGAATCTAAAACTGGATGTGACACATTCTAGTACAGCGAATATCCAGTATTATGTTGGTTTTTTATGGGACGGAGGAAGTATTTCCTAGAAACTACTCTCTCTGTACACTTTTATATGGCGTATTTTGATTTTAAAAAGTCAAACTTCCTGTAATCAATCCAGTCTGTAGAAAGGCCTTGGATCTTCCGGCTAGCCAGAAGAAGTGGGCTAGCTGACCTCACCCCTCTTAATAAATTTCGATACAAGAGTCTCTTCTCTCATATCCTGCGTTTTTTAAACATCCAAACTGGAATATGGAGAGGGCACGTAGCTTGGAATGTGGAGGTTATTATTTCTTTTTTTTTATGTAATTTGTCTGTAATGGGAACATCTGGGCTGCAGGTGTGAACTTGTTGAGAACGATGCAATCTTAAATAAGTTGAACGAGGACAGCAAAACTGTTTTATATTTGTCTTTTTTAAATGCAATTTAAACTCACTGCATCAAGAGATTTAGAATCAAGGTCTGGCTTTTTTTCCGTGTAAAATGGAAGCATGTTAAATCAGGGTCATCAGGAGGTGCTCTTCTCATGTCTCTGAATATAGTATCATCAGGTTAGTTCGGGAGGCCCGTCAGGGGTTTGTTCATGCGGCCAAAATAAAATGGTTCTAATAAGAGAAAAAGGAAGGAATAAGTTCATCTAAGGTCCCTTAACTTATCAACGAATCCGATTTTCGTCCTTCAATCAAAGAAAACCAGATATCATGGATCCCTCAACTATCAAAACCGGTGAAGATGAGGACCCTCGACGGTTTAGATGGTGGTTTTGGCTGACGTGGCGCCTACTGGCTAATTTGACTCAGTCTTCATCTGACGTGGCATTAACGTGGCGCTTACATGGCAATTTGATTCAGAAAGATAATAAAACCAGTGGGACCCACGTGTCAGTTTCACACACAAAATTTTAAAAATGGTGGGACCCACGTGGGCCCCACCTGTCATTCTCACCCCTCCTTTCTTGCTCTCTTCCCATCTCCTCCTCATTTCTATCCCCTTTCCTCTCTCATCTCTCTCCAGCGTCACCACCACCGACTCCGCCGCCGCTCCCGCCTCCCGCCACCGCCACATCCCTCGCGCCGCTGCCGCTACCAACTCCGCCTCCACCACCACCCTCGCCACCTCCGCCGCCGCCGCCTGCGCCTCCACCATCAACTCCTAGCTCCTCTCTTGCCTTCAGTGGCGTCTCCGTCATGGAAGCCGTGGCGGGCGGCAGCGGGAGGCCGTCTCCGCCGCGGCCGCCTCGACGCCGAGGAGCTCCGGGCGGCACGCCAGCGCTGCACGGCCTGCCTATGGAGATGACGACGGGGGAGATGGAGGCCGCCATCGTCGCCCTCCCTACGAAGAAGGAGGCCCCTTCCTCTTCCCCTCGCCAGTCGCCGCTGCAGCCGCGTGCCGCCGTCGAGCCGACTCGATCCACACGCAGAACTGGAGGGAGGAGGACGCCGCTGCCTCCGCGCAACTGATTGCGCCGTGTGCCTCGGCATGTTCGTCGCCGCCGCTGCCGCGAGATCAAGACCGATTGGACCACCGTTGAGATTGTGTTGCCGTTCCTTCTCAACCGCCGCCGCCGCCTCGGCCGGCGACACCTCCACCCGCGCGTGCCTCGGCCGCTTCCGCATGAATGACGCGCCGCCGCCCAACGAAGTGCGCCGCCCCCCGCATCTCCTCTCCTCCCGCCGGCCGGCGCCCGCGCGTTCTGCGGCTTGTCGTTGATGACGAACTCACCGCGGCCGGTGTACTCGACGTGGTCGAGTGGCCCCTTGACGTCGATGTAGGCGCCCACGGGGAGCAAGTCCAGGTACTGCGTCATGAGCCCGCCATTGGGGAACTTGGGGTGCTCGTTCTTGAAGTACACCTTGATGAAGAGGTCGAAGTGGCCGACCTCGTCGACCATGCTCGTCGGCGTGTACGCTCGCATGCACAGCTTCCCTTCGATGCTGGCGCAGATCAAGATGTGCTTGCCGACGGGGAGGCCGAGCACCTGGTCAAAGGACGGCAGCGCGAAGCGGAAGAGGCGGACGTCGCGGGAGAGCTCCTTCTTGTCGATGAGTTGGCAGGGGACCTTGTCGCCCGGGCTGGAGAGCGCGATGGGCGCCGGGGCCTTGATGGCCTCGCGGATGGGGGCGAGCTGGGAGAGGTTGGACGCGCCGTGGACGGAGTTGTCGGAGCTGTACCCGGAGCCGGTGGTGATGAGCTCGCCGATGCGGTAGGTGTCGAGGAGCGCCTTGGCCTTGTCGGAGTGGATGGCGTCGAACTCCTCGTGCCGCCGTCGAGCACTCGAGCCAACTCGATCCGCGCGCGGAAGTGCAGAACTAGAGGACGAAGAGGATAGAGATAAGAGGGGAGAAAGAGGATGACAGGTGGGGTCCATGTGGGTCCCACCATTGTTTTTTATTATTTTGTATGTGAAACTGACATGTGGGTCCCACGAGTTTTATTATTTTTTCGGATCAAGTTACCAGGTAAGCGTCATGTCAATGCCACGTCAGACGAAGATTGAGTCAAATTAGCCACGCAGGCGTCACGTCAGCCAAAACCACCATCTAAACCACCGAGGGACCTCATCTACACCGGTTTTAATAGTTGAGGACCAGGGTATCTTTTCGATTGAAGGACGAAAATCGGATTCGTTGATAAGGGACCTAGATGAACTTATTCCAAAAAGGAATCACCACATGACATAGCTATGGGCCAAATGGCCCAAATCATCTGTTTTTTTTCGTTGTATTTATGAGTTATGACTCGGGTAAGGCCTTCAGAAATCACAAAGATAAATCGTAACATGACAACAAGCACATTTTAAAAAGTACAAGACAAGTTGCAAATGTTGAAGCGTGTCAATTGAACAAGACAAGTATCAAGCGGAAGAAATGAGAAGGGACTCTGAAGAAAACCAGTTAAACAGTCTGAAATAGTCTCCAGTATAGACCTCAAGCTTGACCCGCCAACATCACAGATCCACAGAGAACGAACATTACGCAGTTTATTCAGTTCTACTGGATATGCATTCATCACACGAAATTCACGAGCTTCTCAGTCATTACCGTCTATGATGCATGCAGGTCACGACGATCCCAAATAACTAAACATAGAGAAAAGATGCATGCAGGTCACGACGATCCCAAATAACTAAACATAGAGAAAAGAAACATAAGATCCCTAAGCATAGATTACACATATCTCCCCACTGTTCAAAATGTTACACATAAGATGGCGCGAATAAGCAATCAGTGGGGAGACCAAGCAATACATTTCTTGCATTTAGCAACCTACTGCAAGACCAGACTAAATTATCAAGCCCATAGAGCTACAAGCTTCTAAACACACAAATGCTAATTAAATACACAGGCAGCTAAACCCAGTTCCTTCAGTTCATCTCTCACGAAGTCGGATTATAACGAAGGCACTGCTCGTAGTAGCTAATAAGCTGGAAAAAAAACATGAGAGCATTTTGGCGTTAGATGTTTCCCTCATCATCAAGTAATAGGAGAAGACAATGGGATGTACCAGCAAGGGATTATTTGCTTTCAATTCTTTGTCGTCCACCATGACTTCCTGCCCATCAGACCTGTCGAAACACTTGGTTAGAAAAACAGTTCAAACATATCAAACTAACAATATGAATAACTACATAAAAATGGTCATAAAAAAATGCAGAATATATTATTTGATTAGTGAAGAGACCAGAGGATTCTTTTTGCGACATCTCTAAATGAGTGAAACATAAAGCACTCAATTTGTAGCCAAATAATAATTCATTGCTAGATATAGTCACTTTCCTTTTTGTAATAAAAGTAGTCAGAAAGGGAGCAATATCAGCTAGCAAAAAAAACATGTCTGAGATTTAGAAATTTTAGGCCTATAACTACGAAAAGAAATTACAGAAAATACCTGAGTGCTTTGAATGTAATTGAAACTTGCTGCACATCGTTGTTCACAGCTGCTGCAAATCGCACTGGCTTGATGATCTTGGTGATATGAACTCGGTTAGGACAGCCCTCTGTCTTTTTCTTATCGCCAGTTTCTCCTTCAGTGGAACCAACATCCTCAGCCACCACTAATGCTCCACATTCTCCTTGTCCTTGTGTTGGTTTATTCTGCTCAAACCTCCTCACATTTCCAGATTTACGCTTCTTGGCACCAGTTACCTGGCCACCCTGAGATGGAGGTACCTTCACTAAGTTCTCAGAATTAGACGAACCATTCACAAGGTGATGCTCGTTTTGTTGGTCCGTCAACCTAATTGAGAGCGGTAGCTCCTGACATGGTGTCCTTGAAATCACACTGGAACTACCCTCCTGTACAATGTTCTGTGCAAGCTGGTTCCTCACCACACTCCCTGACGCATCAAGCCCTGCAACTGTCTTACTACTACAATTAGTCGCTCTCCTACAACTTGTCCGACAGGGCAGTTGCTTAGGTTCTGGTGCAGGAGCTCGAGTGTGGGACTTAGCATCCAAGCGAGGGCGGCCCCGTTTACCATGAGATGGGTTTGAGCCTGCTACTGGAGTAGTTGTTATCTTCCGCTTACGCTTCCGACCGGGCCTTGGAGATTGTAACCTGAATTGCATACAACCACAAGGACAAATCAATCTTATTTACTTATTATCTTCTGAAAATGTGAATAGAACTACAGACGGAAGTGTGACAAGTACATACCGCATCTCGAAAGCATCAATAATGTCAGAGCAGGCACTCAGGTTTTCTAGGGGCTCCCATGTGTTAGCACTTTCCGGCCATCCACGCCTAGCAAATCATATAAAATTGTTAGGAACACAAGAATTATCACCAAATCTAAACGAGTAAAACAAGAAGCTTCCACGTGAGCCAAAAACGTTTAAACTGCAATAGACAAGCCAGCGAATAAAAATCATATAAGAAACAATAAAATACAAGCATCAGCTGCGTTCAGAATATATCTAAGCTCTAAGGTAGTGTTTGGTTCATCAATTTGAGGGTGTAATCAAATTGCAGTACGATCTGGTCTCACAGATGTTTTTTTACAGGGTACCCTGTAAACAGAACACAGCTCAGAACATGACACATTACCAAGTTGACCAGTACCTGCCGTACTGCTGCTTCTTCTGAACGCAATCCTGTTCTTGGTCTTCATAGCTCTAAAGGCAGTTAATACATCCATCATCTCCAGTGAGGTAAGTTGGTTGCAGTATTGGCAGCTAGGATGAAGAAAACACAACAGTTGCAATGTGCAGTGTGCACTAGGGAGCATGTGTAAAACGGAAATGCCAGTTTCTTGCTCCTGCTGCCAAATAACCAATGGAGAGGTGGGTAGTGGATCTAGATTGATTTCTAGCCACTACTGCCTCTAAATCTGGAAGCTTACGAACTCGTAGAGGTGTATTGTCCCAAATATGGCAATATGAGTGTCCACAGCCATTCTCAACCTGGGCACTTTTACCACATGGTCCACATCAACACGCACTTGCTACCGACAAACACCATCATACTATTAACGCATCAACAAATTAAAAGCTGTTCCTGCTACTCAGCCTTGCCTTGAGCATTATACAAGGGCATGCTATAAAAGTCACCCAAGATGTTATGTGGAGGTGGCTGTCCTACACAGCTACAACCAAGCGCGGGAAGCAGCCAAAGATTTGTTTGTTATAACTTAGCTTGAGATTCATTAGGAGTTTGTTAAGTGAGACTCCTATAAAAGGAACAATGGAAAGATTAATTACTTTAGGCAAACAATAAGTTATTTCCTCTTGGTCTTTCCAGTCCTCTGTTCTTATCCTTCCTGACAGCTCCGGGGCTGCGAGGTCCCATGCCCCACCCTCCCATTGAGAACCCCTATGCTGTTCACCACCTTGGGACGCCACTAGCACATAACACTAACATTTAGCTTGTAAGGTGGTCCTTGGTGATTCAGATGGATTCCACATTCTCCAAACCACTAAGCTCAGAGTGTAAGCTAGTGATGCTTTCAACTACAGGAGTCCATCAGCAGCACTCAACCGCTTCACCTAGAAGCACAATGTGCTCTCTCACAACCCTGTTTGCACAGTTTATGCTGCTCCAATTTGGTTCATTGCTATTACAAGAATCACTTTTGGCAGTATAGGAATATTAAAAGGAAAGGGATGGAGTTTTCTTGTTTTGGTGTAGTAGGGGAGGCTGGTGTTACAGGCTATCAGCTCAGCAGCCATGCCCCTGAAATTGCATCTATGCCTTGGCTGTGGGATGGAAGTATATTGGATATATCCAATCCGCCTCCAAATCTGTTTGGAAAAGGATATGGTGAAAGGTTTTTTATATATATAATCGGATGATACGGATTCAGACAATAGTTGTAGGTGCAGATATGCTATTCCAAAATCCAGCAGATACGGATTAACAGACATTTTTTAGCAGATAACCCGACAAGGATCTATTTAGATAATCCGATAAACTAGGGTACTAGACCAACTTCCCACGGCTTCAAAGTTAATCTAGTCTACTGTCTGCTGCTTGGCTTCTGGGATAGTGGGTACTACCTGCAGCTCCTGCACGATGCTTTCATTGTGCTGTTTAGCACCTGCTGCTGGCTGATGCTACTTTGTTGCACAGTAGCACTACTAGCTGATGCTCTTATTGTGCTGCTTGGGCTGATAGTTGCTTCTCAATTGGTACATTCCTAGCCACTAATGTAGTAATGTTCTTCTTTACTTTTTCTTGTATATCACCATGTACACACTACCAGAGAGCTTTGGTCTATTTGCAACCTAACTACGTTCCATATCCGTGCCATTTATAGCATCCCAAACAATCCGTTCAATATCAGCATCCATAGATCATCAGAGCCGAATCTGAATCCAACAAAAAAAGTATGGTAATACGATAAAGTACAACTATTATCTGTCTAAATCTGACCCGTTTTCGTCCCTAGCTGTGAAGGCTCTCTAACTACATGGTTGGCTACTTAGCGCAATCTGGTCATCAGAGCCTAAACCAAAATGTGGATCATCCAAGGCACATTAGCAAATCAAACAGTACCTAAACCCCAAAAGCTACGGATGCTGAGCACACAAACCCAATCCATGAATCCAGCATTACGACCTTCACCTTCTACCGAGTGCTAGAGCCCGTGCAGGGACTACGAGAATCCCAATCCAAGAATCCAGCATTACACCTTCACACTGTTGCAAGAACCGTGCAGGGATTACGAGTGGGGATCGGAAAACCCAATCCTAGAATCCAGCATTACGCCTTTCAACTTCGACCGTGCTAGAAAGCGCGCATGGATTCGCGAGAAAACGGAAGGGCGTGAGAGAGAGGAAGCGAAAGCGATCTCACCATTTGACAAGGTACTGGAGCTTCCCCTTGCGGAGGCGGCGGCGGCGGATGTCCTCGATCTCGTAGTACCCCTCCGCCAGCTTCGGCGGGGAGCCATCCACCACAGGCGCCGCCGCCTCGGCCTCCACCACCACCAGCGGCGAATCCTCCTCCTCCGCCGCCGCCTGCTCGCTCTCCTCTCCCCCCTCCACTTCCTCCGCATCCTCCCACTCCTCCTCCTCCTCCCCTTCGTCTCTCTCCTCCCCCTCCCCCTCCCCCTGCTCCTCCTCCTCCTCCTCCTCCATCTCCCCCTCCTCGTCCATCTCCACCGGCGCCTCCTCCTCCCCCGCCGCCGCCGGCGCCTCCTCCTCCTCCCCGTCCGGGTGATTCTTCCCACGCGCCATGGCTACTCCTCTCTTTCTCGGATGGATCTTTTTCTGCTGATTTTGGTTCCTTTTGGCCCGTTTGGTGGAGCGGCCACGGAACGGGGAAGAAAGCTCCGGCCGCGGCTGCCCGCACAGAACGATTTTTATATTCCCGTTTTGCCCTCCGGATTGTACTATGTGCTAATCGTGTTTCTTAACAAAAAAGTATAAGGGACTAAGGGAGGGCCTTTTATGGTATTTACCACTTGGGATTTGGTACTGTTTTCACCCAAACGATGGTGTTATTATCCTACCCATTTAGATTGGATTCATCACACTTGTAATAATATAATTCAGTAAAGCGTGTACTCCCTCTGTACTCATAAAGAAATTGTTTAAAATAATGTTTAAATCAAACCTTGGGAATATAAATCATGAATAACTCTCAAGTTATTTAGTTTGAAAATATAAAAATTATATGAATAGATTTGTCTTGAAAAATACTTTTATAAAAGTATACATATATCACTTTTTAATAAATATTTTTATAGAAACTAAGAAGTCAAAGTTGTGTTTTGGAGACCGTGTCGCTGTCCAAAACGACTTCCTTTACGAGTATGGAGGGAGTATACATAAATGTACGTAGTGTACTTCTACAAAATCCAGCATAATTGTGGGCAACTAGAAATCTAAAAAAAGAAGATGCTATCACAAAGTCTATTGGAGGGGTTGAATGTTGACAAGGCATAGTAAAACAACTTAGGTTGCATTCGCTCGTTATAGTTGGGAACATTCCCCTCTTGCACGGTAAACGAGGTAGTTTATTAGCGCGTGATTAATTAAGTATTAGTAAAAAAATTAAAAAATAGATCAATATAATTTTTAAAGCATTTTTCCTATAGAAATTTTTTACAAATAAAACACATCATTTAGCCGTTTGAAAAACGTGCACACGAAAAATGAAAGAGGAGAGTTGGGAACTCTTAGTGCCGAACTCAGCCTTAGGGAACTATATGAGAAAATAAAACAAGAATAAGTTTTTTTTTTCATAGAACTAGATTTAGAAACCAATCCATCCCTGCCAAAGGTATCTCACAATGCCAACTAATGCGCTGGTTAGCCCAAAGTGACCTATAAATTCCTATATTATGATTGCATTAAATCAAATCACTTACGAGCTATCAAGTATCAATCATCGAGCGAAGCCAAGGAGACCTCTTTCAACTGCTCCGCCAACCACCCTTGAACAATCCAGTTTATCTAAATCCCTGATCCCTGATGAGGTTAATTGACAGGTCTAGATTAGGTCTATATAGGTATAGATTAGGTACATATACTCCCTCCGTCCAAAAAAAGATAAACCCTGGTTTCCGTGCCCAATATTTGACCGTCCGTCTTATTTAAAAAAATTATGAAAAAAATAAAAAGACAAGTCACGCATAAAATATTAAGCATGTTTTATCATCTAACAGCAATGAAAATACGAATTATAAAAAAATTTCATATAAGACGGACAGTCAAAATTGGACACGGAAAGCCAGGGTTTGTCTTTTTTTGGACGGAGGGAGTACATCCTTATAACCATAGTGTTTCCATATATCAATCACAACAGTAGACATAGCGTTATATCACTCCAAAGAGGGCACGAAGCTATGTAAAAATAAGTCTCTACGTTTTTAACTTGCATATCACGGGAGGAGAGTAAACAAAACATAATCGACGTATATATTTTAATATATTCAAATGTTTATCGACAAAAGTTACAACCGCAAGAATATCAATTCTCAAAACTATTAAGGAGAATCAATATGGCTGTGTTTGTTACTTCTTGTTGGAAGCAAATCCCTTTCGCATGAAAAACAGAGCGATCCATTAAAATATAATTAATTAAATATTAGCTAATTTTTTTTTAAAAATGGATCAATATGATTTTTTTCAAGCAACTTTCACATATATATATATATATATATATATATATATATATATATATATATATATATATATATATATATATATATATATATATTGTCAGGGTTATGGATACCACATACCCAATAGTAATCGACTAAGCTCAGCAGAGCCCACCATATACCATGTCTTATATGGAATCAAACCTCATATATAGAAGGAGTTCCGGATAAGGAATGATGAATAGAGTTCTATATGGAAACGACAAGGACTACTCATATCGTATCCATATTTATCTCCCTAGTTCTACTTGGACAATGGGTTATCTGTGGGTATAAATACAAGCCCCCTAGGAGAAGAGGGGACAGACCCACCACAATCTACGACGCCACAAAGCCACAAGCCAATACGCCGTCAGATCTCGACATCAGATATTAGTCTAGCCATACCCCATCCGGTACCTACGGAGGCCGGCAAGAGGGATCCAGCGTCGTCTCTGATCTCGCCGAGTACTGATTCGAGGAGGAAGACTACCCTGTCGTCGACTACGAGTTGATTATCTAGCCGTCAAGTCGATGACGGATAGATAGATTATCCCAAATATTGTATTTGTGTGATCCAGATGAATAAAGGGCAACACCGGCTTCGGCCAACAGGATGTAGGGCTATTACCTGTAAGATGAGGGGCCCGAACATGTATAAAAATCCCTGTCTCCATCTCTTTTACCTCAATCTCATATATGCCCTGTACCAACGATCCCCATACCATCCAAATACCTTAGTCGTGACTATCAAATGTTGACATATATATATATATTTGAAAAAAAAATACACCGTTTAGTAGTTTGAAAAGCGTGCGCACGAAAAACAAGGAGAGTGAGTTGGGAACTCAGCCTTAGAAGTGAAGTGTGCATAGCTCAATTAGTTAGGTTTCTAATGATAGAATAGTGAGGTTTCTAATGATAGAATATTCTCACCGAAGTTTAATTTCTAGTCTTGGTATATGTGCTCATATCTACAGCTAATTATTAGTGAAAGATGAAACGTGACTGTTACAAGAAAGGGTGGGGTCACAAGCAACATCCAACATGTAGCAAATATTAAACATTTGAAATATTTATTTCTATACAAGATTTAAAGCGAAGCGCAATCGTCCTCCTTCAATTCCATCCTCGCACCGGGTATCCATACGCTAGCACGTTCAGTACTTTATCCTTAATCACTCTTCAAGCCCACGTGATCAAATAATTTATCCTTTATCACACTTCAAACCCATCTACTATGGGTCTCTCTACACATCATTCGATAAATTTTCAGGCCCCAAATTTGTCAGATTTCTGAGCCCTTGGATTAGCATCCAACGGCAGAATCTAATAATGAAGCAAACATCAAAGTGGGAGTACAATCAAACTAAAAATAACGTATGGGCCAAAAAAAACATCATTTTGGGCCAACACAAATTTTAAAATAAACAAAGATTTTCTTAAAAGGCCTATTGATACTATGGATCAAATGAAACTTTCTCAGCCCAAACAAATAACGAATCTTGGCAGTCAAGAAAGCTCGACAAAAATAGAAAAACAAGATCACGTGACTTGTACCTGCTCCACCCCATCACCACCAACCCTATTTGTACCTGCTCCACCCCTCACCAACCCCGTCCACATCCAAAAAAAAGGGAGATCCAAACCAAATCAGATCGAGAAGCAACCATGGAGCAGCAGAAGAAGAAAACAAAGAAGAGAAAAGATGAAGAAGATATCAAAAATCCAAACCCAAGCAAGGTCAGTGCAGATCCTTACATCCTTTTCCCATTCAAACTTCATTAAAAATGAACAGAATTTCATAAATCTTTCAAACTTGGAAGATATATTTCCTGAGAATCCCTACAAAAATTGAAAAAGTAAGACCTAGTTTGTACAGAAATAGTACAAAAATGACATCAAAGTGTAGTTTGTCAACATGCTACAACAAACAAAAATCTGCTACATTCAGAAACTTGCCATTGCAATCATCAATATCTGCATCTCATAATAATTCTCTCAACAATGTGGTAAGAAGTAGAAAAACTAATGAACTTAGTATATAGTAAAGAACATGTGCTTGAATTGTTAATGAGCAAGTTACATAGTAAAATTGCTGAAGTTACATTTGTAACTACAAAAAACCCACCCTGTAACTGCATTGCTACAGAAGAGGTGTATGGAAACCAAATCACACTAAAACTAATCACTTAGTAAAATTACAGAAAAGGCATTAAAGTTAACACCCTGTAACTGAAATCACCCTTGAAAACTGAATTATTATAAAATTACATACAAAAAAGCATAAAGTTACAGTTGTAAGAATAATACATTGAACATGTAACTATACTGAAAACTTTCAAAACAAATTCACCACAAAAAAATGCATATAAAAAAATGCATATAAGATGGTAGAATACAATCAAGCATCTGAACATGCATACATGCAATTTCATCACTTTCAATTGCAGGGCCGAGAAAAAAAACAGAAGACCAGCTAACATCTAAAACTGAACATGCATACAAAATTAACTTTATTTGAAAGAAATCACCCTGTAACTACCAAAAAAAACTGATCTGCAATGACCTGCTGAACATTCATAAAAACCTCACATAACCTGCAAAATAAAAATCTAGCAATTTTCATGTTCTAAAACTGTACCACAGATTGTACTATAAATCAAATCTTACCAAAATAACTCAAAAATTCATATCATGCATCTAAATTGATTTAGAAAAAGAAAATATATGAAATTACATACACAAAACCCTAAAGTTACAGTTGTAATAATGGTACATTTAACATGTAACTACACTAAAATTTCTAAAAAAATTCTCAGTTTAGTGTTTCCATAGCCTAAAAATAACAGAAAAAAAATCTGAATGATTTGAATTACCCAAATAATTATCATCCAACAAAGCTAAAACAAAAGTCTAAATACAAGATCTGAAACAAATTCCAATAAATATGAATTTTAAAAAAGAAAATATAAGAAATTACATACACAAATACCTAAAGTTACAGTTGTAAGAATAGTACATTTAACATATAACTAAACTAAATTTCTAAAAAAAATCTCAGTTTAGGATACTCAATCCACTGTCACAAAATAATTCACCTCAGTGTCACGAAGCATGTCATCTCAAACTTTCAGAATATAAAATTCACTAGAATAAACCATCATTGTAAAAATTTCAGTGACTACAAATCACTCTATAATTTAAACTAGTGAAATCTAATGCAGTTCAGGTCCTTTTGTACTAAGAAATAGAACAAGATTTCCTCTGAAAATTTCTAGATGAATAGCAGACACTTGTCCCCTCTAAAAAATCTGAATGAACAACAGATTGAAGAAAGTTATCTCAAACTTTCAATACAATAACCATCATTGAAAACATCAAACAATTCAGTTTAGAAAACAATATCTAAGAGGCATATGAATCTAAAATTGATTTTAAAAGAGAAAATATACGAAATTACGTACACAAATACCTAAAGTTACAACTGTAAGAATAGTACATTTAACATGTAACTACAGTAAATTTGTAAAAAGTTCTTAGTTTAGCGTATTCCATAGCCTAAAAAAAACTTAAATGATTCAAACTACCCAAATAATTCTCATCCAACAAAGTTAAAAAAAAAGTTTAGCAAAAGATTTGAACAAATCCCAATCCATATGCATCTAAAAATTGATTTAGAAAAATGAAAAATACACAAAATTACATACACAAAAACCTAAATTTACAGTTGTAAGAATGGTACATTTAACATGTAACTACACTAAATTTCTCATGTTTAGACTAATTGATAGGCTCAAAAATAATCCACCAAATATGGGCACATTTGGCTGGGATCTAGCTTCAGATCCACCTTTTCTAGAGCTGTAGTGTAACCACCAACATGCATACTAGTTGCATTCACAAAAAATGACTAAAATTACACATGTAACTACTGTTTATCTGAAATGTAATTACAGAATAACTATAAAACAGAAATGAAGCCAATTCACACATAATTTACTTTTTTTTGCAGGAATGAAGCCAATTTCAGAATATAAACATAAAGTGAGCTTGGAGATAGAGGGGACTAAAGAAAAACACAAGATGAAAGAAAATGCAGGTATCAGATAGAAACATTAACCAACAAAATAGTCTGAACAAGCATAAAAAAAAATCCATACATTTGGTTTTTACAGTGAGTCAGAACCAAAAATACATATGTATATACAGTTGATTTGTAATGTAACTTTGTTTTTCACAGTATTTGTTTCTATATTTTTAATAAAATAGAGAAAGTTACAATGAGAATTTAATAAAATTACACATGTAATTATAGTGTGTGTGACATGTAACAAAACTTTAACTAAATGTAAAAGTACTCTCTGACACTTTGAATTACACATGAATTTTGATGCTATAACTATTTTTTTAATATTTCGCGGGAGCAGGAATTATTTCAAATGCAGAATCAAATGAGAATAGCAACAGTATGACCCAAGGTACAAAAGAAAAAAAATACAAATTTGCTAGATCGTAAAAAATCTGACATGCCAGTACTTACCAATAAATGTGACACTTCTTGCAGGTACAGATATTCATCAACTACAAGATATAAGGGGAAGTTTAAAAGAACCAGAGAAGGACAAAACAGAAACAAAGCATATTCAAGAAAGAAGTTCTACCATCACACAAAATTCAGGTAAAAAAAATAATATTCTTTGACTATATGTATTCTGCACCAAATGAAAAATAATTTTTTAATTACAAATAGCCAATCCTTCATGCATTTTCAATTGACAGGAATAACTGCAACTCAAATACCACAGAGCCCAGCATTGCTACATGATGAGTTAAACATGCTAAAACTCTCGAGCAACACCGGTAAAATATAAATAAATAAGCAACATACAAAAAAGACAATTACATCATTTTCTCTGATACTAACAAATTGAAATGCAGGTAGCACAGTTATCATATATAAGTCTCATGCACCAAGTGATAAACAGTCCACGCATAAACATACAACCTAATATGGTAAGAATATAGAATGACAATATGAATATCATTGTACAACAACAAATGTTTGACTATGAGAAAAAATAAAAATGATGCAGGCAAGCCTAGAAAGTTTCACAAGTCTCCTTCAGACACCCTCGGCCTTTCATGTAAGTATTTTTCTGCATTTAAATTTTTGTAGAGCTAATTTATCATATTCATTGTACAAACTAATTTTTTTTTAATTTTGATAGTGCAGAATTCAATGATCCTAACGACAAGCAGGTTTTCTCCTTAAAACACAGAGCTGAATGACAGAAACAGTGCAATATCATTGACCAAACCCGAAAATCTATCCATCCATCTGTGCTAATCTTACAGAAAAATCAACGGTCCAAAAAACGACAAATCCAGCCACCAAAAATCATTCGACAAATGTATAGCAATTTCGTCTATTATTGGTGCTACCAGGGGAGACATAAGACGCATTGCTAAACACATTCTTGAACAAAGGGAGTATCATCCGACGGTGAAATATACAATTTCGAATTGACGTTTTGTCATTAAACAACAGGGCTAAATTCACATAGCGAGGGCAACATTCTGCAATCTTGGATTGGTCAATAAACAACTGGAAGACAGGCACAAGACAACCTTCGCTCCAAACTCCGACTACTTATCTGCGGCAGGCACAAAGAGCCCAAATAATCTTCAAGCAGTTTAGCTAAGTTACATTCATTAGGAGTACAGGAGCTTGTGCATTCTGTTCTCTGTTGCAACAAAATAGAACCGGAGAAAAATGAGCAAGCATAGTTGCTTTCCACCTCAGGCTATAGGTGGCTGCGCTTGCTGTTTCTGTACCATGGCCTTATGCTTCTGACCAATTATGTGAAACTCATAAACTTTCTGGCTGTTGACGACCACATTGCACACGGTACATATTTTCACTTCTCCTTGAGCTGCTCCAGCGTCAAGTACACGCCTCCTCTTCACCTCCAGTTCCTCTGGGGTTGCTGCAGCACTCTTCTTCTTCTTCGTTTGTGCAGCAGGAATCACACTGGTAGTGACACTAGTAGTGACAGGATCAGGTGCCATATTTGCTGCAAGAGCAACAGTGTTTGGAGTACTTGGAGGCTTTACTGGTTTAGGTGTGATAGAGTCTTGTAGCCTCTCTAAGTTTTTCTTGTGCTTCTTTCCCGTCTTATGGATCCTTAGAACTTCTGGAGTATCGCACTGAATCTTGCAAACTTCACAAGTCAATGGTTGCACAACCTTTGGCTTTTTCTTTATATGCTTTCTTGAAACAATTTTCGGCACAGGATGCCCGAAATGGGCATTCCACTGAGCAGGGTGCATGCCTGGGGCTGCAATTGCTGGTGCCACTCCATTCGAAGATCTGGCGGCTGCTGCCTACAGATACATTGTTGTTGTGAAGCTAAAAGCAAAGAATAAGTATGAATATAAAACAGATAACCAGCAGACTTATAGCTCCCTCCTTGATAAGATATGGCACATAAACAAACAATTACAAGACAAACAGAATTATGGATTTAAACAGGATTTTGGCAAATGAATGAAGGATAGATGCGACATATCCTAAATAGGTTCAGCAAATGCTTAAGGCTAAAAATCTAAAATCAACTACAGGAATTAAAAATGACACACGTGTGTTATACCAGAATGACACATATTATAAGGATTGCATATAGAAGGAAAACAAAATAAACAAAACACAATCTATGGAACATTTAATCTTTGATAAGAGTCAGTAAAGCTTCCATAGAGAGAATGAGCTCTAAAATAATACAAGGATTTTTGTTCTCATCCTATGTCAACATGTATCGTTATAAGTCGATTATTTTAGCATTATTTACAAATTTCTTCTAGTCACAACAGGTATGATTTATTTTCCAAGGTGATTGTTCCAACGGACACTTGATCCAAGACTTCTGCTGTGTTGTGCAGGAAAAGCTTCACATACTACTAATAATGTTCACTTGATCCATACTTAAGGTTCTATTTGGCACAGCTCCGGATTCGAGATTTATTGGAGCTGAGTATTTCTAGCTCCACAAATCCATAGATTTAGATCTACGATTACGTTGATAACATTTGGATTAATCATTTTATTCCCATTTTATATGAAATATAAAATTTTAAACAACTATAATTTGACATACAATCTTCAAATCCAGCGTTGATCTGGGATCTATAGTTGTACCATACATGACCTTAAATAGGTCACAACTCTTGCTTTCTGCTGACACTATGGCAGATAGGGACCAAAACCACTTTAATGACGAGAAATTACAGCAAGCTCAACATGAACTCCACTGAAACAGATTATTTGGAGGGAAAAATAAGAAAATACCAAATGGATTATATATTATACATCATGGCTCTAACAAATAAATATATTGACAGATTATTTCAATTATATGTTCATCTTTTTCAGCAAAAAAATATTTTGTAAGTTTTTTAATCATATAACACTCGCAGACCATACATGTTCTATAGCTTGGCTTGTTAACCTTGAATTTATTGGGACCTCCAGAAAACACGTCAATAATAGGAACTACAGTAGTTGCTGTCTGAGGAGCATAAGCAAAGTTCAAGTAACTAAGATCTGACTGCAAGATGAGAGATGCTTCAACTTTTGCCTTTGCTGCCTTCTATGTAAATACACACTTTAGATTTGCAGAAATAAGAGAACTAACTGAGGAATCATATGTCGCATTCCAACAAAACGTGCCAACGCAAGCAGTGTGGTATGGGAGCATTACAACGTGCATGAACATCAAATCAGACCACCAAAACTATTGCTCAATTGATGCATTGGCTGTCTAAACTCTACAGAGACATCTAGCAAAGAAGAAAATCAGCAACCTTTTACTAAAAACCTAATCAGTAGTAGTAGTCTAGATTCAGATATTAGAGCACTGCTTTATTTTAATTTTCAAAATGCCTTACTTTAATCAGTACAGAGGATAGTAAGTTTCAGGATGACATAAGACATATCTTCATAAACACATATTGTAAGATCACCACAAGCAATTGAGTGCATATTGATTAATTTATTGTATTTGTTTCATAGTTTGACAAGATCAACTTTGTGGTGTGAATTGTGATCCAAGTGTGCAATTACAACTACAACAACCGAGTTATTATTATTGTTCTAATTGGTTTTTCATCATAGAATAGAATGCTATAATCACCACAGTAGTAACATATCGAATGACTAATCTTGAAGACTGTATATGGTTTGTTTTGCTGCAATCTTTTGCCCGACATTCCAACATGTGCAATTGAAGAAAACAATCTCAAGGACCTCAGAAATGAAATTTCTATTTCTATATGTCCCAACGGTGTCCACACAATAAGACATGAACTTTACTGAAAGAAGTGAACTGGTGTAACCAAGTTAGCAAAGTTTTTCAAACATGAAAAAAACATACAACAGGCTAAAATAACTATAACAGGCAAATGGTATACTTGATTATCTTTTAACTTTCTTGAAACAAAACTCCTGCTACCATATGCTGATACAATCCTTTGGTTGGCACATAATAAATACAAATAACATAAACATTAATAAATAAATTAATTAAAACCAGACTTCGCATATTTGAAACATGGTGTCAGGTCAGGCAAGTTACCACTTGTTTCTACTGTATTATATATGTAAAACCCAATAAAATTGTAATATTATGAAAGTGCTTTTTAGCACAATCCAAACATATGAATTTAAAGACCCAAATTAACTATTTCAAATATTCAGTTTTGGAAGTTTGCCATGAAGTATGTCCAGAATGACATTTTCTACAATTGTTTCAAAGGAAACCAACCCAACTAAAAACATAAGTTATTCAGTTAACCATACAGGCATAAGTTCTCCAATATCTCCAATATCAATGCGTTTCAACGATACGGAAACCATAAGATCGAACTCCAGATAGTCAAATGAGGACAGGTAAAAAGAATGAATGTTTCACCAAGTAAAAAAAAAATGAGGTTACGTGATAGCCAAAAAATTAGGATGCAAGTTTTGCCATTACTTAGGATGCAGTATACACTTAATATGTCTCACTGTGAGGTCCAAAGGAATTGCGCGTAGGCAATAGGCATATGAAACTGTGGCAAGTATCTGAGTAGGCTGCCTAAGCTTTGGGTGGCACGGTAGTGGTCAAGTGAATAGTACTCAATATACGCCATATATTTTTACAAATCTTTTTACAAATATTATCTCTAATATATGCCATATATGCCATATATTTTTACAAATCTTATCTCTAATATAGAATGTATGTTATCCTTCAAAACAAGGCTTCGATTTAATCGATTCATCATCTTTTAAGATTTCACGGAACAAACTGAAATTCGTGTGTCTTGGCTTATCCACAAACAAGAGTCTTTCATGGAAGCAAAAAACTCCCATGCCACAGAACATTTCAGTTTGCACGAAAGAATTGTGCTTCACAGTACCATGATTCCACAACCGCTACCAACGGATGAACTAAACAATGTGGAAAACACCTAATCCATGCAAATGTCTGAGTCTCACATATAAAACCAAGTTAGGACTAATCGAATAACAGGTAATCCCTTAGCGAGAAAATCGCCAATAGGCCATCAAATTCTTAATTTATGCCTAAAAATGACATCTCAAACCCTAACACGCCTGAATTCACCACAAAACAATCAGGAACTAAGGGACATTGAATCAAAAGAGAAGCAGGGTGGATCCTGACCTGCGCGTAGCGCTGAGGATCGAACCCAAAGTGCTTCCCGGCCTCCTTGCCAGCCGCCGCGGTAGCCGCCGGAGCACCCTGCGACGCCGACGATGCCGGGGCCTGAAACGCCTCACCGGCGCCGAAGTAGTACCCCGGCAGGCCCCCGGCGCCGCCGCTGCCTGGCCCGGCCGCGGCGGGGTCAGCGTAGTACTGGTACGCCGCGTAGGGGTCGTACTGGCCGGCAGAGGCGGCGGCGGAGACCGCGGTGGGGTAGTAGTAGGAGGATGAGGCGGCGGTGGCGGGCTCCGAGGCGGGGGCGGCCGGGTTGTACGCCGCGTAGGGGTAAGGGTAGCCGGCGTAGGGGTGAGGGTAGTGCGGGTGGTGGGGATCCGCCGCCGGCGGCGGCCCCGCGGCGGCGGCGTGAGAGGCGGCGGCGCCGTAGTCCATGTTGGTGCGGTGCGAGTGCGAGTGCGCGACCGTCAGATCGCGGCTGCGGGCGCACGTAAGGCACAGGACAATATTGTCGTGTGTTTCCTTTTTCCTCTCTTTTTTTTTACGCGTCTTCACAAAATGCTTGCTCGTTTCAAATTTGAGGAAGAAGAATCTCGTTGATGGAGGGTCAAATTTCATCAGGGAGAAGAATTTCATTTGTGGTAAATTTCAGGGGAAAAGGACTTGCTAATTTTGGTTGCAACATTCTGTTATCTCAGAATGCAGATAAGCTGAGTCCTACGAAGAATGGGTAGCAAGATCCTTATATGTTGTAGTCAAATTAGCGAAATCATCTCAAGCACATATATGACCGTAACTATTTTGAACACGGTTAAACCAAATGTATAAGTATTCTTGGTTAGATTTATTTTCTGTTACATCATGAGTTTTATGTGTTTCCTTAGTCCTATCAATCATTGCTTGAGTTAGGATTGTGTCTAGTCTGAGCCATTATGTTGACTTTCATTTAAAATTATTATTCCATCAGTCCCAAAATATAAATATCTAGTACTGGATGGATGGGATAATACATATTTTCATATTCCGGATGAAGATAGTATTAAACTTTCCATTCTCTGATTTAAGAATTTGATATCCTTGTTATATATTTAATCATACCCATAGCTGTATGGATTTGATTTCATTGTGTCAGTGGAGTCACCAACTTACATTGGTAAGATCTCATAGGAGCTTGGTAAAATGATTAAGTGTGTGTGACTTTCAAGACTGACACCTAATAGTTTATTGGAACATGCATATTTTTACTTGTATTCTTGTTTTTTACTAACCATGATAGGGATACACAAAACAACTAGAGATGATTGTGCACAACTTCAACATCTTCATTAAGACATGAGGACATTGAGATATGAGGACCGACCAACATTGGGCATATAAGATATGTGATGATGTTCTACATAAAATCATTAGTACACTCATATTTTGAAGGAAATTACCTCATGCTTACATTAAATGGGAGCTAGCAATAGATAAAGAATTTCAAAAGCATGATTTGTCTAAAAAAACAAAAGCTTTGGTGTTCTAATTTTAAAAAATGCTTCATATGATTGAGAATATTTTTATAGGCATGATAAAATACCTCAACCTTGGAAATACATGAAACATATTTGAGATATATTTATGTTTCCATGGATTATGCCAATATTTTGTTCATTGAACCATAATATTTCGAACAAGAGAGCCAAATCGTTACATCATACACCATGATCTTCTTTACTACAATGTGGTTTACACGAATGCAAAGAAACTAAAGAAATGAGGTTTTTAGGGTTAACAAAGAAATTTTAGACAAGATTGCTCGTTGAAGTTATAGTTATCTTTCTCATTTATTACAACTTGCTTGCAATGCTGAAGTAAAAATAAGGAAGACATAAGTGTTGATGTGAAAACACGACGGCCTGGGAGATCTGCTTAATTCCAGTGCAGGTCCAAGGCTAGACTCGAGAGTGTCAAGGGCGTGTCAGCTGATTTGATCTTGCAATCAGTAAGAAAGACAACAGCAGAATTAGTCAGCCGATAACCGATCGACCGAGAGGCCGATAAGGTATTGTTGGTAATCTCAGCCGATGGAGTTAGACCAAATCGGCTATGGACTGAGTATATAAAAGAATATTGAACTCCAAATATGCCTAATTGACTGTAATACTGTCTATCAAGTTTGATAAATTGGTTTAAGACAATATCATAAAAGTAGCCGATGTGACAGTATTTAGAACAAGAAAGAAATGTACTAGTTAATACTCCAGTACAAACCTATATAAATAAATTGATCTATATAAACATATCAAATAGAAATCAGCTTGAAGGTGCAAGAATCTAGCCGATACTGACTAAAGCTTAATATGCTTATATAAAATGATCTATCTATATAAGTGGCGAATATACATGAAACAAGTAGTAAAACATGCATATTAGGTAAGATCGGCTGAAACCCCGATACTATCATTATTATGTCTAATTGCAAGCTGGTTTGAATGGTTTTAAACACGACTAGGGATGATACATCTCAAAGTATGAAAGAAGCATACAGTCTAGACAATCAAGCAATTAAACACTTTTCAGGATGGTAGATGCCTTAGCTAATCTAATGTCACGCCCAGAAATTCCCGAATAGAATTCCAAGTAGAATGTGCATTAAAATCCCCGTCCAGGACCGGCCGGGGTACACAAACAACAAAGTTGACATACAGATCCACGTCTTACAAACATTATAAAAGTCTTACATACATGCAGCGGAAAATTAAAAGAAAATTGGAGCTAAGCCTTGACTTGGACCGCAGCGGGATCACCTACTCCACAGGCATCCTCGACGGCACGAACGAAGCCTACTCCTCGGAGAAGCTACCATCTGACGCATACTCAAACTCTGGTGTTTGGGAAAAATAGAGTAAGACTGAGTACTACCCACTGTACTCAGCAAGACATGCCGGAATAGGGGTATGATGCAGGGAAATATCGAGGGATGGCTATAGTGGTTCATTTGCATAAAGCGAGCATTTATAAACAGTAGTTGAAAGCAGTAAAACAATTGTAATAATTAATCAATATTAATCATCCACTGTCCAACGCTATACCACGTTGCAACAGGCCCAACCATCCACCTATACTATTCAATTCCATTAGACTAGACTAGGGTGAAACTAATCACGGTGAATCTGGTTGACCGCTCATAACCGCGGGCACGGCTATTCGAATAGTTTTACTCTAATCAGAGTTGTACAACTGTACCCACAAGACACAGCCCCACGACACGTTTCCGTGCACCGACATGCCACCACGACATACCTGATAGAGGCCGTGACAGGACCCTTCGCATAACCCCCTCTAACCAAGCACACCACACCTCAGGTTTCACCCCCACTCCTCGCAAGGCAGCGGGCAGTCCCCTCTCATGCCTAGGTGAATCCGGAAGCCGCATAGGCCGTCGCAGGGCCCATCCAAACTCCATCACACCCACCCTTGCCTGGATGCGTCAGTCAGAGGAAAGCTACACTACAAGCCCAGCCGTTGCCCACGTTGGCTTGTGGTAAGTACGGGGAATTCTCCCAGGGTTTCCTGCGAACCGGTCCTTAAGTGCCATGGGCGCGACTAGCAAAACCATGCACCCACAGCCCACCATTTAACATATTTTAATGAAGCAACACCAGGACGGTGGCTCTAATCCAATGTCAACACTAGAACCTGAAGTCTAGACATTAATATAATTTTCCCCATTGTGTGCTAGTTGAACTAAGTATGGCTAAGCAATCCCTAGTCCAATATCTAGTCATGTTATATCTTAAGCTAACAAAGGAACATGGTACAAAATAGCATGGCTATAACAGTAGGTAAACATCCCATGGTAATATTATAAAACAATGCAGTATTTGAAGGAAAACAATAGAGCATTTGCAATATAGGATCAACATGTTCAAGTGACAAGCATGACTTGCCTTGCTCTGCTGCTGGAGGAACCTCGGCGACTATTTCAAAGTACACCGGAGCGTCGGGAGAGCCGGAATCTAAGCGACATACAAAGCAAACAATACAAACAAGCTATAAGACTACTGAAACAGAGAGCAAAACCATTTTTAATGGATTCTACGCATTTTTCTTGATTTACTGAGACTTGAATGGGCTTAAACGGAGCTCGGATGAATTAGATATGAATTTTAGAAGATTCACTGTGTTTTTACTATAAACAGAAAAATCCTTAATTGATTTATTGCGCAATAAATAAATCCCGGGAGAGAGAGAGGCGGCGCCGAAATGCGGGCCCCACATGGCAGTGACATGGGTGGCGGTCCGCGGTGGACCGGGTCTACGGACCGGGAAAGGGGCGGCGCACCACGTGGCGCTGACGTGGCGCCGACGCGGCGGCCACGCGGCAGCCACGCGGGCGGCCGAACGGATGGCCCTGATCCACTCGGGGTGGATCGGACGGCGGAGGGGGTGGCACTCGGCCGGCGCGCACGTGCGGCTCAAGCTGGCCTGACGGCCATGGCGCACGGCGGCGCGGCTCGACGCAGCGGCGGCGTTGCGGCGACGCGGATGGCGACAGCGGTGGCTAAGCGGCTAGGCGGCGGCTAAGCGGCGTAGGAGAGAGGGAGAGAGAGAGAGAGAGAGGAAGAGAGGCCTCACCGACGACGATTGACGACAGCGAGCGACGGAGGGCGATGGCGACGGCGGGACGAGCTCCGGAACCACCTAGTGAACAAGATGAGAGGGGTTAGAGGGAGAGAGGAAAATGGGAGAGGGCGAGGACGCCGGCCGAAGGCGGCGGCCATGGCGGTCCTCACCGGCGCACGATGTGGAGTGGGTTCCGGCGGCGGATTCTGACGGGGAAGAGGTGGACGGGATGATCCACACGACGGCGAACGTGACGGCGTCGACGGCGTGGCTCGGCACGGCGGCTAGCGGCGACCGGAGCGGCGGCGACGGCGGCGGAGAGGAAGGCAACGGCGTTAGGGTGGTGGAGGGCACGGGAGAGCTCGGCGAGGAAAAAGAGAGAGGGGATGGCGGTGGTGCTTAAATAAAGGAGGAGGGGTCCGGACGTGGCCGGGAGAGGCGGGAATCACCGGCCGACATGGGGGAGTGGGAGAGGAGAGAGAGGCGGGATTCGAAAATCGAATCCCGGCCGTCTCGAGCGCGGGCGCGGGCGGGAGAGAGAGGGAACTGGGCGCGGGGGACGCTGGTGCGAGGGCGACGTGGGCGACGTGGCCCGGGAGACACGGGAGCGGGGTGCGGCGGCGCCGGCTGGAGGTGGGAGACGGGCCCGACAGGTGGGCCCCACCTGTCGGCGACCCGGGGAGAGAGGAGGGGGCTCGGGCGGCTGGCTGGGCCGTGGTCTTCGGCTGGCCCAGCGGGGAGGGGGAGAGAAGAGAGAATGGGCCGGCGGCCCATTCGAAAGAGAAAAAGGGAAAAAGAAAAAGAAAAAGAAGGAAATGGATTTTCCTGGGATTAAATATTGCTTGTGCTCAATTTTAATTGGTTAAAATTATTTCTAGAGCTCTGAAAATTCCACTAAAAATCTTGTTAGCGTATTTCGAC